CGTGGACCCAGAGGCAGCCGTGGTCGTCTGCAGAGAGGGGTGTTCCTGTCGCCAGGCGCCATCTAGTCAGTTCCGACTAGTTTGTCGACAGCCTTGGTGGGCACCAGAACCCGGGGATGGGTGGCCCTGAACCCTGCTGGGCCCTGCACCATCCTCACCAAGCCCCCCATGCCTGTGCCCAGGCTTCCCTGTGGGGCAGTTGTCCTTGGATCTAGAGGGTCATGATGACTCCGAGTCCACTGGCCCACTCAAAGTTTGTTTTGTACTGGGGTTCTTTGAAGATGCTCGGGCGGTACCTGGACATGCCCTCTTTCTCCATCCTCCTCCTCACAGCACCGGAAACATCTACACAAACCCTTTTAGCATCTATTTCCATGAGGCACCCCCTCCCACCCCCAGCGCCACCAAAAGTGCGTTTCAAGGGAGCTGCGAACAAAGGGAAACTGGACTTGGGGGAAGGGAGTGGTGGCTTCACGCTGGCTCCTGGTGAGTAGCTCTGTCCCAGTGAGGTGTCTGCTATTTAAAGGCCAAGCTCTGTTCCCTAGGTCACCATGCATCTCTTTACTGTCCAACAGGGCTCATCCGAAGAGCTGGTCACCTTTCCCCAGAAACAGTGCTTGTCCAACAAATCACCACCCAAGTGTGTGGCACCTGAGCTGCGTCTGCCCTGCGAGCTGCTGCTGCAGGAGCCAGCCTCTCACTCTAATAGGACTCCCTGCTCTCCTGGGCTCGTGGCAGAGCAGGGCTGGCTGGTTGGTTGACAGGCTTGGCGGGTGCCAGAACCCGGGGATGGGTGACGCCAGGTCAAACTGGAGCTGGAGACAGCAAGCAGGGCGTCCTTGTGTGTACATTTACGACTCGTGCGCACACCCCCGGGCCATGGGGCATGAAACCATTTCTACCAGCACACGGGGAGGAGAGGAAAGAAGCAAGCTTTCCATGACAGACTAGCTCCGCCTGGACGTGAAAGTCAGACACCAACTTAAACACCACTTGCCTTTGGCATCAGTTCCCTCTCGGAGCGACCGTGCGTGCCAGAGTGGAGCTGGGCTCCGTGGGGCTCTCAGTCTTTGCTAGTCCAGAAGATCCCCAGCCCCTTCCTCCAAGGGACCCAGCTAGGCTTGAACCTCTGACCTTTCCCTCAGTCACCTAAAGCCAAGAGAGCCAAACTGCCCTCCCAGAGGGTAGAGCTGAAGCCCCCAGGGAAGGGGACTTCACTCAGGACCCAGACACCAGGACCAACCCACCACCAGGATCTGGGGTGATGGATGGTCTCCAGGAAGGAGATTGTCTCGAGCCGGAAGAGCTAACGACATTTGTTCCGCTGGGCGCGGGCCACGTGTGTTGCCGGATGCCCTTCTTCCCTTCCACCGCCTCCCACTTGGGGTGGGAATGCCTCCCAGGTGCCCGGCCCACCCTGAGGTTTTGGAAACAGATCACAGGTGGTCCAGATTGTGCACATTCACAGATGCAGAGGGATTTTGCCCCAGGATGCACTACACCTAAAATCTCACCCGTGTTTAATTTAGATGGTTCCGAAGATGAGACCTTGGTCTGGGAGTTGCTTTCAGACTTTGGGAATGACGTCATGGGGTGAATGTGTTTGACATGTGGGCAGGATCTGAATTTGGGGCAGCCGAAGGGGAGCATGTTATGGATTAAATTTTAGGCCCCCCCCCCTTTTCTCCGCACCCCCCCATTGTAAACCCTAGTCTTGAGGCCTGTGGTTATGGAACTCTTTGGGGATGGGGTGTCTTTGTTTTGTCCATGGGGCAGGATTCCTGTAGGGTGTGTCTGGAGTCAATCTCCTTTGATTGGTGGCAATAAAAGATGGAAAGCCAGCCAGTGAGCGGGGGGGTGGGGTAAGGTGGATGCCAAGACACACAGAGATGGCCCAGGAACCAGGAAGCAGAAGCCACAGAGACAAGGGCCACCACCCCACCCCACCCATGCCCATCTCACAGAGAAGGGAAGCCTGCCCCCAGAGCCTGTGCCCTGAATGTGGGCTTCTCGGCAGTGAGTCGATCAATCCTGCTTGGTAAAGCCACCCACTGGCGCCCTTCCTGTTCTAAGAGCACTAGAGAAGGAAGACGGTGGCCCTGCCCATCAACGAACTGTCCCACCCACACCTGACCAAGGACAGGGCATGTGATTTGACGAGGCCAGGTCCGTGCTCTTAAGGGACAGATGGAAAGATGGAAACACAGCACAGGGTCCTTCCGTCCATGCTGGTAGGACTTGATGAGATGACCCTGTGCCTTCACATGGACCGGAATGCTTGTTTCTGAGCCTGGCCCTCCCTCCCTGCCTGGCTGCTCAGAGCCACCTGTTAATCTCCTAGATTAGAGTCTGTAGAGTTGACCCAAGGAGGTGGCTTCTTTGGTAGATGTGTCCCCTGTCTTCTTTGAGTCTTTTTTTTTTTTTGCACATATTCACGGCCCTGGTGAATTTCTCATATACTATGACAGCAGGTTCATAACTCAGGAGGCCCCGCAAACCCAGGGGTCCCCCCAGACCAAGTAGGAGAGAGGTCATTGGGTAGGTGTGTGCTGGGAGGACTGGGGACTCAGGTCCACTGGGGGTGTGTGCTTCATCTGTAGGAGGATCTGCGGCTCCAGTTCAGCCAGTGGCTCGGCAGGATGGAGCTGTCCGAGGTGCAGGCACTGCCCTGAAAACTCGGGGGGGGGGGGGGGGGGGGGGGGGAGGCGCAGAGGGGCGAGTTTGGGCTTGCAGACAGCTGCCAACACCTTGTCCTTGTGGGGTAACCTCAGGCAAGCCACCCAGACCCTGCTCCTCAAGTCCGGTCCCCACAATGCAGAGATCGTCCGTTTTATGTCACTGCCTGGTCATGGTGCTGGTCAACTGGTTGCTCTGAACCAAGGACGTCTCTGAGTGTGAGCAGAGAAAACACACTGTAAGAAACCCATGGTGAGAAGCTGATACCAAGGGCTCAAGTAGAAGGAAAATGTTTTGGAAATGAGTATGGCAACATAAGTACAAATGTGCATGATACAATTGATAGATGGGTGGTTGTTAGAGCTGTAAGAGGCCCCAATAAAATGATTTATTTTTTTAAAAAAGAAAGGAAGCTGAAGTTTTTCCAAATAATGTCGGAGACTGAGGCCAGTCTGTGGCATTCACTAAAGCACTGCAGTACTTGGTGCGCCAATATTTTAACTGATTGAAGACTTTAAAATATTGAAGCTTCCCACTCTTATCTTTAAATAATACATGGAGGCATTATGAAACTTTGCATGCTAAAATTCTATGGGAGAATATAAAAGTCCATCTGTCCGTCCATTCAGCTCTCCTCCTGTCCCCTGTGTGGCCAATCAGAGTTTTGCTCATCTGCCTACTGGAAAAGGTGGTGGGGAGAGGAGGAAAGGGTCACCATCAGTCACCTACCACTGGATGGAAGCCGACTGGTGTAGCTCTGAAGAGCACCCACACAGGCGTTCAACCGCTCTTGTTCTGACCCCAGGCTGGCCCTGTGAGATGATCTTGGGCAGGTCCTGGTTTTTCCATGTCGTCATGGAGATGGTGCTGTCCCTGCCTTTAAGGGTGGTGGGGATTAAATGAGATTGGGTATGAAGCCCTTAAAACACTTACAAATGAAAGTAGATTGGAAAGGAACTCCTCACGTAGAGACTGCCTCAGTAACTGAACGTTTGCTCCCTGAACCTAGCCCAGTGTGGTCGGTACATCATCTGGTGTCAACTGGAGACTATTAAGAGTGAAGGGGCGCAGTCTAGCCTGTCAATCGGGTCGCAGCTTGATGACCTCATTTGGAGGCGTGACGGAGATAAATAGCTCACAGGAGCCCAGATACACTCACTCCCTGCGAGACATTCCTGTGGACAAGCCACATGGAGCTACGCTGATGGAGCCAGAGCCCTGGAGCTGGAGGAACCATGTGGAGACGCACGCCAGTGCTGCAACTCCTGGATCCACTGGATCCACAAGACTTTCCACCCACTGGCCTGTGATCTTCCTGCTTTCCACATCATTGCATGGCTGTGTGAGTCTGAAGAGGAATTTATGGACTGTATTAGTCTAGGTACTTTGGAGAAACAAATCCACAGCGACTCATGTATAAGAGAGTTTTATGTAAAGAAAAGGTGCATCACGAAAACATCCCAACCCAATGCTGCCCAAGCCCACAAGTCCAACATTAACCC